GCAATTTTAAGCGCCCAGGTATGGAATTAGCGAGAAGATGCAAGTTACAAATAGCCTTCAGGATCATCCGTTTTCCTAATTTTTGAAGTGAAACTTCTTTAGGCGCATGAGGGTAAAATTTTTACAGATAAAACGTCACGCCGGTATGCAACGGAAGTGTCGGAAAAGAGAGAGAGAGTGATCGAGACCGATTGAGAGAGAGTAAGACAGGGCGAACGTAGCATGAGCAACTAGCCGTGGAGTGAGAGTAGGGAGCAAGCGAGTGAGAAAGATTGAGAGAAAAAGTGAGACAGAGCGAACGTCGTATCACGCATAGTGCTATGGAGTGTGAGGTGGGAGAGAGCTATAGTGAGAAAGATTGAACAAGAGAGAGAGAGAATACGGGATATCGAGAAATAATACACGCCCTATTGGTTGTGTATTCGTTTACTAGTTAATTATTATACTAATAATTGTTTCATTATTATTGAAGTAAAACTTCTTTATCGACGTATGAGAGAAATTTTATAGCAATATAAAAAAAATCGTCACGATTTTCGGTTACGCGCTATGTTGTTTGTTTCTATCGAAGCTTCGTATAGCGACGTAAAGAATTAATTTAGTAATTATTATTAATTCTAAAAACAATTAAAACAACAAATTAAATAATAATTTAAAAATCAAACAGTGTGTAAGTTATTAAATATCTGCTTTTAATTATTTTTACTATGTTATGACATAAGATTTGAATATTAATGTTTTTTATATAATTTTTATAAACTGATTAAATAATTTTTAGATTAAATAATGGCATAGTCTAAATAATGACAACAATGTTAATTATAATGCGATGAAATACAATAATTATCATAAGTGCAATGATAAAATGAATTACTCTTATTATCTGTATGCATGGTTATTATAATATTGAAATATCTTTAATTTAATATGGAAAAATTTTTTTTTCTTAAGCTTTATCTACCCAATTTCTATGAAGTTATAAATAGTAGAAAAATGATGTGTCATAAAAAAGTTTTACTTCTTACCTGTGTACTCTGATACACATACATATTTTTTTTTTCTGAATGTTCTTGCCAAGCGGAGTCGAAATATAACTATAATGAATATCTTGTTAGGCCTTTGTAGATTTTTCTTATTCTTTTAACGTTATCTTTCAAAATTACAGACGATGATATTTATACTCCAGCGTCTGGGTAGAGCACCCCATATTACCAGTTTACGCTCGTGACGTAATGATACTTAAAACTGCAATGTATCTTCTTTAGCACCTATTCAATCAATTACAGAATGGTACTCATAGAATACACTGCGAATTGTTACGCATTCCTAGTTACAAGAAACATTCAAGAATAAATTATAGAATTGTAATTAAAGATTATACTTTAATTTTATGTTATAAAATTAACTTAGAAAACATTTAAGATTAAATTATAGAATTGTAGTCGAAGATCTTACTTTAATTTTATGTTATAAAACTAACTCCAGAATAAATTGAACAATTTAGTTACAATTGAACCGTTAATAATTAGTTTTCTAGATGAAGTGCTACTTTACGTTATCAAATAAACAATCACATGTGACTATAATTTAGACATTAAAATTTGTGTAAGCTATTTAGAAGAAAATTAAATTTTTTCCCATGGTATAAGAACTTATAGCTTCTGAAATTCAAGTTAATGATTGTATTGTAAGTTTCTAAGGTAGGAATTAATAAAACATAATTGTTTTGCAGAATGATCGATTTTCAAAAAATTCTCGACGAACTTTCTACTGAATTGTCTTCGGTAGAAAAAATACAGCAATGTTGGCCATATCCTACAGAGACAGAAGTTATAAGTGGAATTTTGGAGAAGCTTCAAAAAATTGAAGATAGCATAAGTTTCTTTCAAAATCAAATGGATAATGCTAATAGTCTATCTACTCCAATATCGTCTACAACCATAATTTCATCGAAAAATTTCTTGTTAACGTTCGAAGACTTAAACAAAAGGTTTGGAAATTATTCCGTTACTATTTCTTAACGAATACAACTTTTATCTGATTATAACTGTGACGATGACGATAGTTTATTGTGAATAAGCTAAAGTAAAATCGTAACTACATTTTGCATGATTTTGAGCTTCAACTTGAAGTGAAAACTTTTAAAAATCTACAAATGCACGACTTATAAAGCCCATTTATTTTAAAAGAAAAAAAGGACATTCGGCAGCCGGAATGGAAGTAGATTTCATAATAAATAGAAATAAAACCTACCAGGATTGTATGCAAAAAAAAAACAATGACATAAAAACGAATGCAAAAGTAAAATTTCATTAAATCGGTCTGAGAAAGTAAGTAGTTTAACAGTGGATTCTAAGACAATCTACTTACCGACCGACCAATAACATTGTTTCTTCTTTACCGATTGTTGTTATCCGTTTTCTTTTAGGTAGATTTCATAAAATCTATCTATTGCATTGGCCCTTGTGTCAAAATTCACACAGAATTTATATATATATTTATATATCTATTAGGGTGTGCCAATTTTAGGCGACTTTTTTTTCAACGAAAAAACAGGCTGAAAACTTTCATGAAGGTGAGAACAGAAGCCTGTTCAAAGCGGAGCTCTTAATATTAATATTTAGAGGTGTCTGTCACTGATTGTTCATTGTCCATTTAAATAACATAGGAAAAAAAATTCTTTTGTTTGTTTATTTTTCTAGCTCGGCATACGCACCTCATATAAATAAGTCCGTAGCATATTCTTGTAGGTAATTCAACGCTCTACAAAAAAGGTTTCCTATACTTTTATCATAAAGACAGCCGTTCTAAAGTTATTTAGACGTAAACTTCTAAATGTATAAAATTTTGTTTTTTCAAGTATTAAACAGATATGTTATATCCGGCGTACCATCTATAATACAGGGCCTCCCATTCCAGCCGAAAAGTGCAGCGCTTGCATATCTAAGGAACAATGATATGGACTGCGTGACAACTCACTTGTGGCCGAAGAATACACATTACCGCGCATTGTCACCTTATCAAAGGAACCAATTGTTTAATTAGTAGCCTCGCGAATAACTTTTGAACGACTGAACCAATCGAAACGAACTAAACGGCGTTCTAGAGAGTTCCCTCAAACATATATTTCCTGAGAATTTGAACCGATTCTAACCGATAGATTTTGAGAAATGTTGAAAAATCTAAAAAAAAATAAGAAAAAAATCATTTTTGAAAGTCGTTTTTTTGGAATAACTTTTAAACGGCTCAATCGATCAACTTCAAAAACTAATCCGCCCTTAAGCTTCAAAAACCACGCCGATCGGCGCTAACCCGGTCAAAATCGGTTGATTCGTTCGAGAGATATCGTGAACGAAAGAAAACCGAAAAAAGTGTTTTTTCGGGATTACTCCGAAATTTTCAGTTCGATCAATTAAAACCTGAAAATCACTCATGAGGATGATGAAACTGCGTCGAATGGTGCCAACCGCGTGAAAATTGGTTGATTGATTCAAAAGTTATTGCGGTTTGAAAATTCCAAAAATAGTGTTCTACGAAACTTCTATCAGACTTTTGAGCTAGGAGAGCTCAAATGCATAGAAATATTATTTCTTTCAACTCAGCGAGCTCAAAATATCACATAAATTATATTTTGAGCCTAAAAATCTCAAAAATGTAATAAGTACAATTTTTAACGCCCCGGAATGGAATGAGCGGGAAGTTGCACGGATGGCCTTTAGGGTGAACCGTTTTTCTAATTTTTTTTTTAGATTTAAAGTTTTTTTTTTTATAGAAATTTTCGTATTATTAAGTTTAAAATTTAAATCGAATGAATTTATTTATTTTCTCTCTAAAATGAGAAAATTCTTTATTTTAAAACAAATTTGAAATTCTGATTTTGAAACGTTTGATATTCTATTTATTTATTCTTAAACAATTTTATTTACTCATCCCCCCCCCTCTTTTTCAATATTTTTTATTTTATTTCAAAAGAATAGACTTATTTTCATTTTAAATTGAATTATCGACGCAGAGAATCGAACAAACGCAAATAAACTCTCCTAATACTAGTTGGAATTTTACGGCTCAACGCTATTCAGGCTCACGGAAGTATCCATGTGGTGATTAACCTTATCTCATAAGTTTTCTTACCTTACTAAAAAGACTTGAGAAAGATTAATAACCCTTGTTTGATTCCGTTAATTATAATAATTATAAAGCAGTATTAAAGATTTCAAGAGCGTTTATTCCGCACTGGAAGAAATTCTCATTCAAAATTTCAGTAGAAAATGGTTACATTTCTGGAATGGGACTTTTATCTTGGAGTGAAGTGAGGAAAGAAAGGAAAAATTCGAGAGAAGTGATTTTTAACAGGGAAGACAGGTCGTGAGGTGTTTTAGTCCGAACCTTCGGTGGTCCTGAAGATGATACCAGCAGAGTGAATACGTGAAATTTGAATTTTGTATTTTTGTTAACATCAGTTCTTCTTATTCGTTTGTAGACTTTAAAATTTTTGGGTTTCTTTGAATAAACCAACTGTAAGATGTGTTGAATTCGGTAAGGATCAATATCATAAGGTTCGATTTCGTCAACAGAGGATTCGATAGAAAATTTTTGAGAAATTTTTGGTTCAGGCACGAATTTCGAATCGGTAATAGGTTTAAGGCTACTTGCTGGTTCAGAGCTTTCATAGATAATTTTGGGATTTAAAAGTTACTTAACCGTTCAAACTGCGTACCTCCCATACGGTTAATGTAAGCAATGGCCGTTGTGTTATCTATTCGCAGTAAGATATCACAATTACGTTTATCCTCAACAAAACATTTTAGCCCGAAAAACGCTGCGAGTAGTTCAAGATGATTAATCGGTAACCCTCTTTCATCTTCACCCCAGTATCCATGTGTTCTTTTGTTACCGGTAGCGGCACCCCAGCCCGTCAGAGATGCATCTGAGAATATTTCTATACAAAACTTCAAGGATTTTATAGGCTTATAAACGATATCGATATTATTTTTCCACCAGGAAAAATCTTCGTTTACATTAGATGATAGTGTTATACGAGCTTCATAATTTTCTCGATTGGTACGTAGGGCTTCAAATTTCTCTCGCTCAAGGTCTTTCAAATAGACCCAACCGTATTTTACTGCTGAACAACAGGCCCCCAATGTACCAATCAAAGAGGAAAATTCTCGAATTTTACAATTCTTGAATTTTCGAATTTTTTAATTATACTTTTGACCGCGGAACGTTTTTCTTCCGGAAGTTTTATTCTCATTTCTGCTGAACTGATAATAAAGCCTAGAAAGCGACACTCTTTTGAGGGAGATAATTGGCTCTTGACCTCGTTAATTATGAACCCTAATTTCTCTAATAATTTACGAGTTTTAAATAAATTATTTATACAGTCGATCTCTGACTCCCCAAGAAGCCATACGTCGTCCAAATAGACAACTGAAATAAACCCTCGTTGTCTGAGCCAAGTAAAAACAGGTTTAAGTAATTTTGTAAAAACGTACGGTGCAGTGTTAAGGCCGAACGGAAGACACGTAAATTGATATAGCTTACCACCGAATTCAAATTTTAAATATTTTTTATACTCTTCCGCTATTGGAATAAGATAGTACGCGTCTTTGAGGTCTAAAGTTGCCATAAAGCAGTCGTTGTATATTAGCTCGCGCACTGTACGTAAATCCTCTAACTTAAAATGTTCTGTCTTAATAAATTCATTCAAGTCTTTTAGGTTAAGAATTAGCCGATGTGAACCATCTGGCTTTGGTACTAGAAAAATTTTTGAAATGAATTGCCCCGGTTCATTTATGCATTCCTCAATAGCTCCCTTAACTATAAGTTCATTTATTTGTTCTGAAACCAGACTGTACTCTTTTGAGGACCAACTGTGAGCCCTCGGTGGGTATGGTTGGTAGACGCTTTTACTGAAGGGTATCTTGTACCCTTTGACCCACTCAATGATAGGATTATTGCCAAACAGTTCCTCCCAGGCTGGTAGGAAATGTCTTAACCGCCCTGCAGGTACACTTACCGGACTATTTATTTCCTGTACGGACGACGATCCTTGTTCGTTGATGATCTGCGCGCATGATACGGTTTTCTCTGGTTCGTGTTCGGCTTGAAGGTCTGAACTGGAGCACGCTGGTTTACTACCCCCCTCAACTCCTCTCGAACACGATAGGTCTGCTGAGGGAGGGGTTTCAAGTTTTTTGACTTTGATATAACTGGTGTTTTGCCTAGCGGCTTTAAATCTTTTGAAGTACGCTCAATTACTTTAGCCGTTTTCAAGGATTCCTCTAAATCCTTACCAAATAACCATTCATCCATCACCGTAGCATTAAGCGTTTCTTTAAGGGCTGGGTTAATGTTAGCTGAGATGATCAGACGTCTTGTTAAAGATTCGTCCCGTTGCAAATCAACTAAGACCCTTGCAGTGTCGCTAAGAGTCGCCACTAGATTAGTGGTTTCAGGAGTATTCCCTTTTAGAAGGTCTGATAGTACAGAACCTAAAGCTGACAAACATACGCATACTTTGCGTTGTTTCTCAATAAGACGCTTGTCTTTATTGATTAAAGGTTCCAGCAATGAAGCTTTTATCTGAGCGTTTAATTTTTGAGGTTCTAAAATTAAACAATTCTCGGGAGTTGGGTATTTCTTGAATAACAACTCTCGCTCTTCGGTAGGAAGACCTTCTTTTAAAATACCTTTCCATCTGACAAAGATATCGTTATGGATAGCTGGACTGGTCTTCTTCTCCTCGTCGATTCTTTTACCAATAGCTTCCAACATTTTTCCTTCAATAACAGGATCTTTGATCACTTCAGTAGATTTTTCAGGCTTGTCTGTAGACTCAGTAATTGGCGTATCTTGCGTCTGCTTAGTTGCAGCTCCATTTTGCCCTGGTGTACCCTTGTCGCCCAGAGTCTGATTATTTTTCTCTGTTTCACTTTGATCAGTTACTTTCAAAGAAGAATCAGTTGTTTTTGGATCATTCTTCAGAGGCGTTTCAGTGGCCAATGCTGAAATTTCTGTAGCGGGAGTGATACCAGAATTCGTCTGATTGGATTTTTTGCTAGCATCAGCTGCCAAAACATCTCGTAGGATGTTTTCTAAGGGAATAAGTGGGCTGCGTTGATGATCTGACGACGATGAAGACTCTTCCTCCGACTCTGATGACGATCTTCGATGTTTATTCCCTAGAATACACAAATAATTGTAACGAGACTGCAGGCAAGTTTGTAATGCGTGTTTACGCAGTTTTATCTCTGTTGAATTATTACTTGAATAATTTTATCTATTCTCATCATTGAGGATAAGCTAAATTATTTTTGGAACTTGTCCACAGATAATTTAAGGTAGTCGGATAAATGAGAGGTGGAGCTTGTCCAACCTTTACATGGTACTTGACCATCTCATTTATGTCACCGCAAGTTTATTTACAACTTGTTGTATTTAAACTCTTAACTTTACAAAATATTTTGAATAATTCTCAGCACATAGAATTTTATTTTCTGTGAACAGAAAACAAACATTTGTTTAGGTTATACTTACGTTTTTTCAACCGATGAATTTCTTTCTCTTGATCACGCATCTTCTTTTTCATGCGTTTTAATTCTTTTGTCCAGTCATTTTCATCATTTTTATGAGATCTCTTTCTCTTGTGGCCCATTTTATTTATTTAATTTTAATTAATTAATCGGACAGTTAAAAATTTACCATGTGGTTTTTCTTACACAAAGAAAAGGAATGAGGTTTAGAACCAGAACGCCGCCTGTGGAGACAGCGCGCGGTAGGTAAGTTAGAAACTTTGTCTTTAAACCGTGTGGAATTAAGTACATGAAGTAGGGGTACTACCAGGTGATCTGAGGAGGAGGCGCGGAATACAATAAGCCATTTTCAGAAATAGTAATACCACATTCAGTGACTGCTGTTGTACACCACAAATAGGTGCAATGTATTATATATATATATATATATATATATATATATATATATATATATATA